TGAAGGCAGCAGAAGTAAAAGAGAAAAACAACTTTACACAGTGTCATCAAATATCCTGAAACGATAAATATTTGAGTGGATATTGCCCATGTATTTTCAGTGAGAAGATTTAGGTAAAGTGAGAAGTCAGGGCTGATGGGGTGGCTCAGTGGGTAAAAGTGACTGTGGCCAAGACTGAGAACCTGAGTTTGATTCATACATCCCATACTGGCAGGAGATCATCCAATGAGAGACCAATAAAGGAGACTTGAGATGAATTTTGAAGAATATCAATATTTAGATATGTGCTGTATTTTTTTTTTTTTTTTTTTTTTTTTTTGGTCAACTAGACATAAGCTAGGGTCGTTTTGGAAGAAGGAACCACAGTTGAGAAAATGTTTTCCCTAGATTGACCCATAAGTGTCCAGCAGGGCGGTGCCCCTTCAGAGCTGGTGGTCCTGGATGCTGTAACAGACCAGGCTGAGCAGGCCATGGGGAACAATCCAGGGAGTAGCTTCCTCCATGGTGCTGTATTGCACAGGCAAGGACTTAAACAGAACCTTTGGATTGGCCGCTAAGGTAACAGGTGATCTTTGGAAAAGCCATTTTAGTTCAGAAGTGGAGCTAGAGGCCAGGAAGATTATGGAGAGTCAGGGAGAGGCGGAGTCTGGTGGAATGAAGAAGGGACAGGAGCCGAGTTCCCAAGTACCTTTGCTTCTTGCCGTGTTCAAAACTTGTAAGACCTCAGTTTGGACTCTTCATTATAGATGTCGGTTAGTTTCCCTTCTTACCAAAATGACTTTGAATTAGCAATCTATGATTAAATTATTTTGAGACAGGTTCTCGTGTAACCCAGGCTAGTAGTCAAGGATGACTTTGAATTCCTAATCCTCCTGCCTCTGCCTCCCTCGTACTGGGATTACGGATATGCACTGATATTTTCTATATTACTATATGCATACATACAGTGTATGCAGTGCTAAGGACGGAATATGGGGCCCTGTGGTGGTTTGAATGAAAATGGTCCCCATAGGCTCATAGGGACTGGAATTATTTGAAAGGATTAGGATATGTGGTCTTGTTGGAGTAGGTGTGGTCTTGCTGGCAAAAGTATGTCACTGGGGGGGGGGGGTGGGCTTTGAAATTTCAGAAGCTCAAGTCAGGACCAGTGTCTCATTCTCTCTTTCTGCTGCCTGCCAATCCAGATAAATAACTCAGGGCTCCTTCTCCAGCAGCATGTCTCCTGAGCTGCACACTCAGAGCCGCCTGTTGTTCCGTTCTAACAGCATCCTCTCCAGCGGTGGATACTGACAACTGTCCGCATCCCAGGTGGGACTGTCAAGCCTAGATAGCTATATCCTGAAGCCACCAGGGCGCGTGCTGATGGAAACAGTGTTCATAACCGAGCTGAGTGCAGCCTTCCCTTCATTAAATTGTGTGAGTAGCAAAAATGTTGCAGCCGAATGAACAGCAACTTTGAGCCGCTTACACTGTTTCCTTTGAGATACAGTTATGGGCAGCATGTGACTTGAATTATTTAGTTTCTTCCCTCAAATGGAATTATTTGAGAAGCAAAATGTCATTGTCGTTGACCAAAGGATAATATCTTTGATCTTTTTAAGGGAAAAAGTTTCCATCTTCGTTCAGTAATTGGGAGGTCAGCGAGGACCTGTTCCCACACACGCTGCCTGCGCTAGACTTTCTTACTTGTGTTTGGATCAAGTCCCAGTTGGCATCAGCCAGAACAACAAGCCCCCCCTTTCTCCTTTGTGAGCAATCAAGCAAGATCAATTTGTGAGTTGTAAATACCCAAATTCTCCCTAAAAGATTCCCCTGAAGTTGCCCCGAGGCCAAGGGATGTGGAATTGCTTAGAATTCCTCCTAGGTCAAAATGTGACCATTCAAAAGGAGCAGGAAGCGGCCTGGGCACCATAAATCACCAGGAAGCAAGTGTTCCGAGGTGGCCAGCTTGATATTAATAGAGGCCACGTTTTGTTCTTGCAGCAGGAAAGACCTTTCAGTGTGCTGGGCACAGACAGCCTTCAAACCCCGAGACTCCAGAATCCTTCTTGTTTTATGTACTTGAGCACGTTGCTTCCCCTAATTGGAAGCTAGTTGCATTCAAATAGCCCAATTACGTGCAGCGTTTGTAAGCTCCACACATGTGAGGCCACCCAGTTCACTTTTTGTTTATATGTCAAATGCTTTCAGCTAATTCAGCTTTTATTCAATAGAAATAAAAGTGCAGCATGTCAAAGAGCTAGTGTTTGGACCCTGCACAGAAAGGTCCTCCTTTCTTTTATTTAATTTTCTCTTCCTCCTCCTTCTCATTCTCTTCCTTATCCCCTTTCTCGTCCTGCCTCTCCTCATCTCCTCTTCCTCTCTTCTGTTTTTCTTTGAGGTGGGAATGTAGCATACATACTGACCTCACACTCATGACCTCCCTGCTTCGCCTCCTAAGTGCTGGGGTTACAGATGTGGCTCTGCAGATGTTTTCTTAGTTTAGTATCACTCATTAGATGGGGAAGGGTAGAGACTTGGGTGTGGGGGCGGTTAGAGAGTTGAGTCTTGAATCTCTCTGTGACTTCTGAGTGGTGACAGTGAGAGATGAGTGAATCTCTGTGGATCCACTAAGTGAATCCAAGTGTTTCCTTAGCACTTGCAGAAGGGCTCTGGGCTGCTCTGTCTAGCATTTAGCTAAGCCCAGGCTGCTGTGGCTAAGTAACTATTACACCAAATTTGTTGGCCTAAGAGAACAATTGCTTTCACCATACAACCAGATTCAGTGGATCAAATACTCACACAGGTCTCAGCTGTGTGACTCTTTGGCTTCTTGGGTCCGTAATGGATGTCACTCAGAGGTGTACAGCTAGCAGACGAGCTGGACTGGAGGACTCAAGACAGCTTCAATCACAGGCTGAGCCACAGACGAATTCATCTGTCAGCCGGAGTGCCTGTCTATCGTCTGACCCTTGTAATGGCCTCTCCAACAGTTAGCCTCCAGTCGTCTGGCCTGTGACATGGCTTCTCACAGGTGAACATCCCAAAAGAATTGTGGAGTTTTGATCTGGTCTTGGAAGTCAGCGCTTCCTTTTACTGCCTGGATTCACTAATCTTGGTGTTCCATTTCGAGACTGTTTCGACATTCTGTTGAATGGCTTTGCAGTGGTCACTGCCTTCAGAAGGTGTGTATTTGATGGCTGGGGCCTGTAGCTCCACTGGTTGAACACTTGTATACCACGTGAAAAGCTCTAGACTGGACTCCCACACTACATAACCCAGGTCTGGCTTCCACACCAGTAATCCAGCACTCAGGAAGTAGAGGAAGGAAGATCAGAAGTGCAAGGTCATTCTCAGTTACACAGTAAGCTTGGGGTCAGTCTGAGCTGCATGAATCTCTGTCTCAAAGTACGTAAATAAATAAACAGAAATGAGGCTGAGATTACAAAAGTTTATTTTAGACACTTATGATCTGTGTTGTTATATAAAGTTTATGAAATGGTAAAGTTATAAAAAATTGGGAATGAATAAGTGGTTTCCAGGAATTTCTAGGGACTGAGGCAGGAGAGTGAATGTGTGAGACCACATAAGGGCAGCAGGAGGGATCCCAACCACGACAGACATGGCTTTCATCTTGGCTCTGAATTTGTGCTATAGTTTTGCACGATAGTATTGCTGAGGGGCCTCTGATACAGGGTACACAGGTTACTTCCCTGTGTGACTTTTCACAGCTGAATCTAAAACCACCAAGCAAAGACAACCCTGCGTAAATATGGTTTGTCAAGTATTTGGCTATGCTTTCATGGAATTGGTTAAGGATGTTGCCTGAGATTCGTTTTTGCCACTGTGATTAAATATCCCAACAAAAAGCAGCTCAGGAGAGAAAACATGTTAAATCACAAGTCCATCATAGCAGGAAGCTGAGACTGGCAAGAGCTTACACTAGCTAGTCATGTCCACAGTCAAGAGCAGAGAGAAACCAATGCATGTGTAATCAGTACTCAGTTCGCCTCCTCCATTCTTAGACAGCTAAGAACCCAAACCCTGGGAGAGGCGGACCAAGGTGGGCTTGGTCTTTCTGTATCAGTTAATGTAATAGAGACAATCTCAGCTCACAGACCAACCTGAACTAGCCACACACCAATTGAAACTCTGTTTCCAAGTGATTCTACATTGTCACAAGGACAATCAACGCTGACCACCACACACAGCTAGCAGGTCTCCAGTATAACTTAGTTCCTTCAGTGATCCACATCTTGCCAGTCGCTGTTTCCAGTTATGCATCGCTGTCTACTCTATCTGTGTGCTGCTTCGCATTGTACCTGAAGAGAATGAAAAAGTTGTTCGTCTGTGCGCCCTGTGGAGTCAAATGACTGTAATGAGAACTAGTAAACTGAACAAATCACAGTGATTAGCGCTGCAAGGAGCCACGGGGGATGAGTGGGTCCAGGCCCTCTGTTCCCCTGGTGAGGAAACTGAGGCTGTGGGATACTGTTGCTCCTGGGCTTCATGACATCCAGCACTGGCAGTTTCCACTGGTTAAAGTTTAGCAGCTCTCTTGCAAACAGCTTTGTTCCAGGACACACCTGCTGGGCTCCTACCTCAGCTCAGCCAGCGCAGTTATTCATATGTGAATGACACCATCCATCTATCTTAGAAACCAGTGTTCACCCCACAGGCTCTCAGAGGCTGCTAACAAGTGTCCCCCAATTTCACCCACCTCTGTGTGTGTCTTCGCTCCTTGACCTTTAAGACTTCCTGGTGCCAGAGTGTCTGCAGCCAGGGAATCAAAGACCCTTGGAGAGGTAACCCGTGCTTAGACGACGTGAAGACGACGCGGTGAGTTATTAGGAAAAGCCAGCTAGGTGCCCCAGAGCCCTTCCTCATCTGGAAAAGGCCTGAACTATATCCCAAGAATAAACACAAAGCCTCAAGACCTAAACACAGGATGAGTCATAGGCAGAGCTAATACTAAAAGCTCCTACCTCCTGCCTGCCACTCCACACTCACACGCCATCTGCCCCCCCCCAAAGGCTCCCACGTGCCTCACCCAGAAGACTCAACCACTGTCTTTGAAAAAGATGAAAGAAGGAGATAACTTCCAATGAAAGATGGGAATGAAAGACAGAGAGGTAAATAAAAAAGAGAAAGAGTTAGATATTTAAGTCCTAGAATTCAGTCCCGCGTCTGTCTCAGCTTCCTGGCGGGCATGACAGCAAGAGCACCGCAGCACCGCACTTCAAGGTCTTGCACCGCACTTCAGGGTCTCGTGTTTTAAGAGCGCCTGGCCCGGACAGCGCCCTGTGATCTCTTTGTCGTTCTCTCTGGAGAAGTGAGTCCGGTGGGAAATCCTGACTACCAAGGCACCTTTTATATTTTGAGAACATCTAAAGCTTATTCTTTGGTTCACGGTCAAAGTGTTTTTTTTTTTTTTTTTTTTTTGTAAGCACGATGTCCCCTCCCAAGCTGGCTGCGCGGTCTACTTAAAGAGGATAAATCCATTTTGGTTCCCATTCTCCGTCTGCTGCTACTGCCCTTTCTTCACAGTCCCCATCCAGGCCCCACTGTTTCGGCTCAGCCTCAGAGCATTCTTGGAATATTTCCTGAGCCCTCTCTGGTTACCCAGGCCCTTTCCCTCCCTAGTCTTACAGAGCTAGTCACTAGGATATTTTTGCAATCTACTACACTCAGCGGGGCATATAATCCTTGGCCATGTTATCTCAGGCACCCCAGTAAGAATCCCTTGACAAATAAAGTAACCTGAGTCAAATTAAATCCTTGTTGATTGATTGGCCTGAGTGAGTGGCTCTCAGCCTGCTCTCCCTTCTGTCCAGGCTGCCTGTGGCAAGAGACATTCTTGCATATCTGTGGCCGAACTCAGGGCCTCCCTGCCTGTTGTTTCCTAGGCCCGGTGATAGCATCCACTTCCCTGTCTGAAGTCATAATTCCGTGAGCTTATCTTTTTCATGAAATCTGACAAACAAAACCTGTGGGGGCTTAATGTTGTACACTAGCACATGTATGTTAGGTCCCAGGATTCTATACATGATAGTTAATTTTGGCTTCTTTTTTTTTTTTACGTGTGAGAAAAGAGAGGGACCCCCACACACACACACACACACATACCCCAAAAGGAGAAAGGGTTTGGTTTTCAGTCCTTTTCTTAATGTATAACTGGCTCAAATGTCTTTGTGGTTTATCTTCTATATCATCTCTGTTTTGTGGACTGGAGTGTTGTTGTTGTTGTTTGCTGTTGTTATTTTTACAATTATTTGTGCGAGCACATGTGAATATGCGCGCACATGCCACCGCCACATGCGTGGAGGTCGGAGGACAGCAAGCCAGCAGGAGGTGTGTCCCAGAGATAGAACATGGTTCCTTGGGCTTAGTGGAAAGTGCTTCTCCATCGACCCTCTTGTTGGCCCCTGGGCTGGGAGATTTGTTTTTCCAAATCATTGTGCCGTATTAAGACTACACAATCTGGTACCTTGTATATTCTTTATCAATAACAATTGATGAGCTAAGTGAAATCAGTTATTATTATTTACTTTCTATTCTCCTCCAATATGAAAGGAATTAATAATGAAATAGGCCAGGGCCACTTTAAAAAAAAAGTTAGCCATGTGAGTATTTCAAGGCAGAATTCATCATAGAAAAGCTGCATTGTTCTGCATCGGTCTTGTCAGAAGGTAGCCATTTCCGGGTCTTCTCATCACCCGGCAAACCCTGCACTGCTTCTCACTGCTTAACGCTGTGAGTTTTAAAAGTTGGAATGAGTTGGTTCCATAACCGTGAAAGACACCTCAAAGTAAAGACTCTATCCATGTGGGAGAGTCCCTGTCCCTAGGATGCCAAATGAGCAATGAGCTCTTGTTTATAAGAAGGAGGGTTATAGAACAGACAAACATGGAGGTTTTGTAGGCTCTTCTGCAATCAGGAGAAGGGGGAAGGGTTCAGAACAAAGCAGGGGTCATCCTGGAAAAAACCAGGCGGCTTTGATCTTCCTCCTTGCCTAGAGCAAGGTGAAAGGGGAGTCTGTAGTCAGTGTGATCTGTGTATTTAAGCTAAACAGCGCTCTCAACATGTGTGGGCAAGCATGAGGGCTATTCAGCTGGTGAGAAATGCATGCCCCAGATTCCGTGATCAAATACACCAGTGTAAAACAAATTTCCTTTCCCTGTAGGGTTAACTGTAGAGAACCAAGAACTGCTTAAAGGGAGTGTTCAGAGAGCACAAAAATGCCAATTTGGCAGAAAAATAAAACCTCAGAAATTGTGGGCATTGAAGTAAAATTCTTTCTATCTGTCTCTCTAGATTTGCTCTGCTTCCTGGCCATGCAGCAACTAGAGCATTCAACAGATCTTGGGGACAGTGACTCAGGAAGATGCCCTCCCCCCAGGAGAATGAGGGAGAAGACTGGGTGAGCCCTCCTGGGTATGGGTCCACCTCTCAGCTATGTGGGTGAGTTTCCCCAAGAGCATATCTTTGCATGGTTTCCCCCAGTTTGGGTAAAATAACTCCCTAAAACTTAGATTAGATGGGCCTCCCGGTACTGACTCAGCTGCTGCAGGGATGGGCCTCCTGGTACTGACTCAGCTGCTGCAGGGTTTCTCTAGCATGACTGGGACAGTCCTTGTAGTACATTACCACATCCAGGGGGCTAAGAAGTGGCACTGTAAAAGTGATTTAATGTCAATTGTTTTTTTAAAAAAAATACATATTGAAGTCTCAAGAAGCTGTGATCTTACCTGGAGTTGGTGTTTGGTGGCTCCTGCTAACTTCCAACAGGATCTAAATGGGGAGAACAAAAAAAAGTGGCAAATTTCTAAAGAAGCCCCCACGCGGGGTATGACAATGGCAACAGACACTCAGTTACAGGAAGCAGCCACGCAGTCAGTGAGCAAGGTACAGAGTGGAAGCCCAGTACTCCAAACCCTGCTCTCTGGTCAGAGGTGGAAAACTATGGGGCAATGGTCTGTACCCTGTCACTTGTATTTTAATAAAACTCTGATTGGCCAGTAGCCAGACATAATAGGTGGGGCCACCAGGCAGGAAGTAGAGGTGGGACAACAAGAACAGGAGACTTTTGGGAAGAGGAAGGAAGCAAGGTAAGAATGCCTCATTGCTAAAGGTACCAAGCTTGGCTAACATAGACAAGAATAATGGGCTAATTTAAGATGTAAGAAATAGTTAATAAGAAGCCTAAACTAATAAGCCAACCAGTTTATAATTAATATGGTACCTCTGTGTATTTCTTTGGGACGAATGGCTGTGGGACTGGGCGGGACAGAAATCCCTGCCAACAGTGGAGCAGCAGGGCGCTCCCATGCAGCCTCTCTCTGTGTTGGCCAGAGCTCTGAAATCCTTGACTCGATTCAGGGCTGGACCAGTTGGATGGAATCCAGGTCAGGCTCCGCCACTGGGGAGTCCAATAGCGCCACCACAACTGTACACATTGTACACGATCACATGGCCAGACTGGCACCTAGTCCAGGGCTCTTGCTTGCGGGGTCAACAAGCCTCCTAGGACCTGTGTTGGTGCCTTGAAGACACCTTCCTGTCAGCCTGCAAAAGCGATCTCTATGTGTTTAGGGATGCCCATTCAGGAAGCTTATGTTGCCCAAACCTCACCACCAGGCAAATTCTCAAGCTTAGACTTCTGAGCACACTCCACAGAATCATGGGGCTACTGAGGAAAGTCTGGTCATCTGCTTCACAGTGTTCAGGACAAGGTCATTACATCTGCTTCTGCTGGATTGAAACAGTCCCTCTGAGGAGAAGGAGGACGGCTCAGGGAATTCACAGGAAGGTTCCGAGTCTCAGGAGGATCCCACAAGATTCAAAGCTGCCCCTCTGCGTGCCCCGAATTCATCAGAGCGGCAGCCAGGAAGAGAAGTCACTTCTGTGGAGCTGCCAGCAAATTGCACACTTGTATGGCACCGTTTCTTCTGTCTGCTGTCCCCCTTTGTAGCTGAGTTACTAGGCCTTTATGCCCACATCTCCAGGAAAGTCAGTGCAGCACAGAGGCCCCCTTTACTGCTCAGGAGACAGTTGCTTGAGTCAGAAAAGGGCCAATGTATCCCTGCACCAGGACTGGCAGTTGGACACTGAAACAGGTTTCTATCTTAATTCTTCCCCTTGCACCAGCCACAGGACTGTCAATAAATAGCAGTGGGCCAGGTTCTAGGTCACTCTCCTCTCCTGTTCTCGTTCCCTCAATCTCCCGTACTGTGCTCTCTTACGTCTATCCCCCACCACACACACACATTTTCTCCCAATCTCTGCCTTTCCTCTGCGGATTCTGGGACTCACTGTGGCCAGACCTCCCTAGTCATGTATTTCCCCCTTCATGGAATTGACATTGCTTCACTGCATTGCAAGAAAATGATGTCATCGTGTGGGGCCCTGCTCCATTTCCGGGCTTTTAACCCGAGTCTCCTGACCTTTCTCGGCTGTCCTGCTTGGACAAAATGAAACACGTTGAAATGGACAGGCCAGCAAACCTCAGCAAGGCCCCTGTGTCTCGAGGATGCGGCTAAGTTCTGCAGCTACATTAACGACCCAAACACCTTATCTGGGTGTCACATCTGGGACACGGCAAGAACCCACGTCTGTAAAATGGAGAGGAAATAGACTTCAGATTGTGCCTGCAGTTTCCTGGCCAGCAGCCCTTTCTTCCCCTATACTGGGTTTAATTACTAGTGATAATGCTCAGTGAAATTCGGCCTCCGCGCATGTTTTTTTTTTTTTTTTTTTTTTTTTTGGTCTGGGCTTTGTATTAAAGTCTGGGCAAAAACTTAAATCTTACACACTGCACTTGTGTCTCCATGTCGCAGGGCGAGTGAAACCCCAGCCCGAGTGATGTTCTGGAATAATTTCCTGGAATGTCAAAGGCTGCAATTGCCCTGTCAAGAACAACTCTGTTCTCGCAGGACTGCAGAGAGCCAGGCTGACTGCATCCTTCTCCTCTGGTCTAAGTTTTTCTCCTCCAGGAAGCCACTGCTTGCAGATCATTTGCATACAGCCAATGAGAGTTGTCTCCTGTTCTGTGGAGGTCTTGGAGATTGTATGACGACATCCTGGAAGAATCTCAGCTGGGGAAAGGGGATTTTCCCCCCCTTTCCCTAAGCCCCATTTTAAATAGTTTCCTTCCCACAGCCCATGTGTCCACATTAAAAGTGAGTAACCCAGCCCATTTTCCTGCCCCCGACTCCTGTCACTAGCTCAGGAATCTCAACAGCTACACTCTGAAACAAAGGTGCCCTATATATTCGTTCCAGTCTGTAAACTAGACGGTTTTGGCACACAGGGGGAGAATTAACTCTTTCATTTCTCCCAGGCAAGGGCACAGTAAAATGCCTGCTCTTTTCCTCGTGACCAGAATGGCAAGCACTAACCTGTTGATACCCAGTGTAGTTCTTAGCGTTATGAACGGGGTTGTGGTTAACCTAAGACATATGCTACTGCACTGTACACATGATACCACAAAGACTGGATAAATTTCCAGGCCACCAAATTGTGCACATTTTCCTCAGATTTTCTTCCCTCAATTCTAGAAAGCAACTTCTGAACTGTCAGGTCTTCCAGTGCTGTGATAGCAACCAGAGATCTAGCTTGTTGATAAAATGCCCAAAGGCCACCTTAAATTATTTCAGCCCAGAGAGGGGCATAAATAAGAAAGCAGGAAGTATGCACATGGATGAGCAGGGTGTCCAGGGCTTAGGCGGACAGTCAACTGTTTAATTCAGACATTAGACAAACATGAAGTCCCTACGTGTGCAACGGCCAGACCCTGGCTAAAAATCTTATCTTAACGAGTCGAGGCGGATAACAGTGTGTTGAAGACTTGGGACCTGGAGGCATGTCCTGGATTGCTAGATAGCGCTGTTTCAGCTCTATGCCCTTGAACAAGTCATGAAGCCTCTCCCAATCACAGATACTGCATCTGTGAGATGAAGGTGTTTATGTCTTGTGTCTAAAATGTTATGTCTAAAATGTTTACTCAGAACTTTTTGTTTTCAAATGAGTGGAATCCCTCCTAGCTGATGTTTGAAGACATCTACTAAAAGTGTTGAATGAAGTCCAAACCCTTATAACTTAGTGTGTGTGTGTGTGTGTGTGCGTGTGTGTGTGCGTGTGTGTGTGCGTGTGTGTGTGCCTGTGCATGTGTGTGTGTGTGTGTGTGTGGTGTATAGGCATGCATGTGTCACACAACACATGTCTGGAGGTCACAAGACAATTTTGTGGAGTCCTCTCCTTCCCCATTAAGTGCATTCTGGGAATAAAAATTGGATCAGCTAAATGGATCCCTGAGCGATCGATGTCACCAACACTGGGTGTTTCAAGAATCTCAGGTGGGTCGGGCTTTCTGCTGTGCACTTTCCTGCTGGAATCTCATTGATTTCTCTCAGTGAGACTCTGAATTAGCTGCCCTCATTATCCCCATTGGACTATGAGGAAGTCGAGAGTCTGTCCTAAAATGCAGAAGGAGGAAGTTTGCCCATGCCGGGTTTTTTTCATTCTAAAGCTCTGTCAATTTCCTTTCCCAGAACACCTGTGTGTTCCAGACTGTCCTGTGTGTCAGAATCATCACAGGAGGGCTTCCTGGAGCTGATGGCTGGGATCTGACTATTCCCAGTTCCTGCAAGTTCCCAGGGCTGTAGAAGATACTCAACTGGGTCACTGATCTCAATCCAGCAATGAGTTGAGGTGAGCCCCAAACCAAGAGCAAACACACAGACGCTAAGAAGCACCTTTCCGATTCAACTGTCTTGTAGTCAAGCAGTAACTGCATGCCATGCCTTCTTGGCAAAGACTCTAAGAGGCCGTACAGATCTTGGAGCGTTTATTGAGAAATTGGCCTAACATGTATCTAAGGTTCTTTGAATCTACAAAATGTATTTTGTTTGTATGGTTGGGTTTTTTTAAAAAATTGTAATTTAAAAATTATTTATGTGCATGCTAATGGGAGTTTAAACAGTACCAGTGGGAAGACAGCAGACCTTGTGTGGGAGCTGGTTCCCTCCTTCCTTGTGGGCCGCAGGGGTTGATGTCAGGCGGGCAGGTATGTCAGCAAGTGTCTTTCCTGGCTGAGCCACCTTGTAGATCTGCTTACAGCATTGTTCACACAGGGTCTCATGTAGCTCAGGCTAACCTCCTACTCACTATGTGACAGAGATGGCCTTATCCTCCTGCCTCATCTCCCAAGTACTGGATTACATGGGTCACGGTCACACCCAGTTTTATGGGGTGCTAGGGATCAAACCCAGGCCTCATACACGCTGGAGGTGAAGTGGAGGACCAACGGAGGGTCCTTCTTAGTTTGTAAGTGGGTTGTTCTTAGTGCTATAAGCAAGAACAGAAAGGCAACTACTGGGGGGGGGGGGGGGGGGAGGTTTCCCTGAAGGCCGCAAGTCCACATTTTATGTCCTGAAGTTTTTGAGCCACATTGGTGGTGGTAAAGAAGAAAAACTGAGAGAAATGTCCCTTCATTTATGTGATATGGGATTGCCATCAAATGAGACTCCACTCGTAAAATAATGAAAATGAAAACAAATCATTTATTGGCTATAAAGTTATATTTCATATTTCTATGGAAACAATAATATTTCCATTTCAACACCATAATATGTATATTTTTAAAATGTTAGTGGGAGGACCAATGTATACAGTTGTTTCTATTTTATTTCAGAAGAACATGGTGGGGGGGGCAGTTTAAAGAACACAATTACTTTGTAAATATTTCAAAATAATGACCAGAAATTAAGGTTAATTTAAGGGGAACCCAACTCCAAATTTATTGTCCATTCTTCTGACCCTAGAAAGAGAAGAAGGAGAAGAGAAGTATTTAATTGTACAGTTTATCAAAGAAAATACAATTTTGCTTCTGACATTTAATTTAGTCATTTTTCTGTCCCAGAAAGCCCTGGAGGATGACACAGATCCCAGCACCACGGAGCCAGTTACGGATTTAAGAGGCACCCACAGAGAGAGCCACATGGCTGGAGTGGCGCAAGGAGTGTCAGCAAGGTATAAAAAAGAAATACACGCGCAATCAAGACTCCGGCAGGAGTCTTCTGGTCATTTCTTCTGGTCATTTGCTGTTTGTGTTGTCTGGATTGGCTTGGGGCTTTTCAAAACCCAACAGGAGATGAAAGGGAACTTTCGGAAATCTTTAGTTGGGAGCCAAGAACTTGTATTTGGTTAGAAGGGAGGGAAGGGAGCGAGTATTTCTTAAGTACTGCAGGACCCTGCTGGCCTCCTTGGTCTCACATCAGAAATGATGTCATTTCTCAGGGGCTGAAGATGGGGCTGGCCCTGTTTTCCAAAAAGGAAAGTAGGCTCACGTGAAGCGATTTGATCCTGAGTTACTAAAAGCTGCCTGGACACCCAGATGGGAAGGGTGAGAGGAGAGGATTAAACCCCAGTCTGTCTGAGTGCAAAAGTGCCGAAGAATGGCTAGGTAAAAAGCCAGGGAAGGCTGCAGGTGCTTGTAACCCTTGCATTCCTTACCTGCCTGTTAGCCTAGCCACAAACAGCCAACTTCTAGTTCAGTGAGAAATGAGACACTTGACGTGATCGGTTCTATCCCATACGTGCGAGTACACACACACACACACACACACACACACACACACACACGCACACACACATGCAACGCACAAGCACATACACTCATATGTAGACATTCCCCCCACACACACACACTGCCATGGAGCGTTGGCTTCTCTGTGCACCTTTAATAATGCTAGCACAAGTCTGCAGACAGCCACTGTCCTTGGGTAGAAACCCAAGCCACTTTCCCTTATATTCCTTCCTGCAGATGTTTCTTGATTGCATGGCCATAGCAGATTCCCTGTAGCATGAAAATTGTTTTATGTCGATTGCGTTGGGGTGGGCTACTCAGTCTAGGGGTTGTAACCCACCCCGCAATCAAGTTACTCCAGGGTCTCGGAGGGGCACTACCTGGAAGGGAATGAGCTAAGACAGAAGAAGGAGGCCAAGCAGATTTGTCAAAGCCTCCGTTTATTAGGGACGGGTTACAGTTTATATATGGTAAGGAATGGGGGGTAGGGCAAGGGATCTCGCAGCGTGGTTCCAGTCACGTAGCTAGGTTACTTTCAGAGGTTAGGCCAGAAGTCACAAGTTGCCACACCTGGTTCCCTGGATAGCTGGAATGTGAGGCGGGTTCTGCTAACAGATAGCTCTCTATCAACAGCTTAATTGGGTGTGGGGCAGGTTTTCTCAATAGAACATAATTATGGGTGTGAGGTTCTCTGCAGACTCCCCAGGATGATTCCTGTAATGATTTCTAGAGGGGAAATGGCTCCTGACAGTTTTAAGACTTAAAATATGACTACTGTAGGCTTAAGTGAGATTTTAGCTATAGCTAGGAAGGTACAAAAATGGAATTTAATGTTTGTCCTGCTTTCCTTTGACCCTATGCTCCTGTCTTGCTTTTCTGGCCCCTTTGTTTGTCTTGATAACCATCTACGAATACGCTGTTCTACTTTTTAAATGATATGTGTTATTTATTGTATGTCTCTCCTGCTAGGAGGTGAGCTGTATTTTTGGTGTGTCCAGCACATGTCAAGTGCTTAAAAGAGGGACTGGGTCATTTTTTTGCAAGGAGCCACTTGATGCATATTTTAGGTTTAACTGGTCGCATGGTCTCTGTCACCGATATTCTGTCTCTCCAGGTGAGAACAGCCTCAGACAGGGGTGGAGGTTTTCTCATAGGACTTTCTCTATGGACGTGGAGATCTGTGTATGATGGAACTTTTAAGTGTCATGAAATTTTGATTTTTTTTCCCTCCAAATATTAAAAGAATATAAGTAACTTTGTTGTTAAGTAGGGTGCTATAATTTCAGAAAGTGGGATTGTGTCTTGGATTTTGTAACAATGCTAAGAGAGTACGCAGAGGAAGAGAAGTGGCTGCACTGGACCCTAAAGACTGGGTGTGGCGAACCTCTTTCTTAATGTCCAGTGTCTTCATATTTGGTGAAATGTGTCTTTAAAATTTTAAAGGAAGGTTGAAAATTAAATTCATTTATTTACATTTATTTAGTGTGTATATGGAGGCGGAGACACACATGCCACTATGTGTATATATCAAAGGAAAACTTCTGGGAGTTGACTCTCTTCTATCCTGTGGGTCTTGGGGATTGAACTCAGGTCAGTAGACTTGGCAGCAACCTTCACCTACTAAGCCTTCTCTTGGGCCCAGAAATTAGATTTGAGAGTTACTTTTCTCTAACCAAATCTATAATAATAATAATAATAATAATAATAATAATAATAATAATAATTAGAATTATTTTTAGCTTAAATTCAAAACTCCCCAAAAGTCAGTTGGTCTTCTTTAGCCCCTGGGTTGTAGTTTGCTGTCCCCTGGTCTAGAAACTAGTGCCTGGAACATAGCAGGTGCTCAGAAAACGGAGCGCACTGTGATTGGTCCAATGGCAGCCCCACAGGATTCCTATTGATAGCCAGAATAGCAGGCTCTACACTGCCCTCCAGTCTGATGTCTGCATGAGCTGAAGGGACCTCGCACACACCCACAGGCTGAGACGACCTTTTCCGATGTCGTCTACAAAGAAGCCATGTATCATTACATTGTTCAAAAGTCTAGTTTAATTCCATCTGAGACACCGGCAGCACGATCGTGTGCTTTGGCAGGGTCATGGTGCGGCGAGCCTTTGAAACCAGTACTGAGGAGGCAGAAGCCGGAAGACCGCATGTTTGAGGCTGCCCTGGACCATATTCTGAGTAAAGGCCTTATTTCCGGGCTACAGAACAAGACTGTCTTATCCACCCAAAGCAATTATTTTACATTTCAAATAGAATTGTTTGGGGATAGCTCAGTTGTTAAAATGCTTCTTTGCAAGCGTGAGGACATGAGTCCCACCTCTAAATTGTACATGAAAACAAAAAGATGTATATGGTGGCACTTGGTCATCACAGAGCTGGGAAGGCAGAGACAGGTAGATGCTGATGGCTACTAGGTAGCCAGACTGGACTACTTGGTGAAGTGAAGACTCTACCTCAAAAAACAGTGTTTAAAGTACCTGAGGATGATGCCCGAAGCCGTCCTTTGGGCTCTATATACATGCACACGCATGCAAGAGTACACATGCAAACATGTACACACATGAAAGCACATATAGAAACATGCACACAGAGAATTGTTTTCAGTCTTCTGAGATGTGTTTCATCTCAGAATACTTCTGTGTGCCACAGCTGTTTAAACTACTGCCCATTTTAATTATTTCCTTGACGTAGTTGATATAACAATACTCTTTGGAAAAAGAAAGATTAAAAGAAACACTGATGCCAAAATCAAGTCTAAAAAAAAAGCATAACAATGATGATCATTTTGACACTATGCCTCAAGATTATTTTCCCCAAATCTTCGGATTACATTTTTCTCCCTAACAGTACGCTCACTGGCCAGTCATTCTGACCTGGTGGGTGAGCTCTGGCCAGTGAGAGAGCTCGTCTTACAGGAGATGGCTGACATTCCCGAGGATGACATCCAGCGCTGTCCTCTGGACTTCATGGACACATCCACACAGAGAAACATACACATACATACATTAAAATAATATCTGAAAACCATATGCTTGCTGACCAACTGTTAAGACATAACTAGAAAGAACCATTTGTGCTGTTGTGTTGCCATTTATGAAGACTTCAAGAAGACAGATCTCAAAAAAAAAAATTCCTTGTCATTAAATCTGGCCATTTTGCTTGGGCATTTTCTTGAACTTGTTCTGTTGTTGATATTTTACTTGACTTTCTCCCTCCCTTCCTCCCTTCCTCCGTCCCTCCCTCCCTCCCTCCCTCCCTCCCTCCCTCCCTCCCTCCCTCTCTCTTTCCTTTTTTCCTTCTCCACTTCCTGCTCCTGCCTCCTCCTTTAGGTAAAACTTTGCTATATGCCCCAGGCTGGCCTCAAACTCATTCCTGGTTGTCTCAGCCTCTCAAATGCTGGGATAGCAGCACATACTGATGCATACAATTTGAAAAGTTTATTTAAATATTTTATTTTATGTGCATGGTTGTTTTGCCTGCAGGTATGTCTATGCACCATGTGTACTGAGTGCCTGTAGAGGCCAGGCAAGGGCTTTGGAGCTCATGAAACTGGAGGAACAGATAGTTGTGAGCTGCCGTGTCAGTGCTGGGTATAAAACCTGGATCCTCTGGAAGAGTAGTCAATGGTCTCATCACTGAGCCATTTCTGCAGCTCCCAACTTGAAGTTTTCAACATGCAGCCATTCCTTGGTACTCCAGAGGATTGTTCCTAAGGCTGCCCTTGGATATAAAAATCTGTGCTGCTCAAGTCCCCAATATAAAACAATGATACTTCCCCCAGAATTTTGATCTGAGATCAATTGAACAAAAGAATTTGGAACCCATGTCAACTGAAGAACAGTTCTATATTATTTGTAAAATGAATTGGATGTCAATAATATTTTGAGAACTAAGACCCAGATGAAAAAAAAAATCTATAGAGGAGACTTAGCAATCCCTAACAGTGGGACTTATTTATTTATTTAAAAAATAGTTTTTAAGCTAGATAATATCCTGGGAGTGAGAAATCAGAAATAAATCAGAGTTGAATTGCCTTGGCCTCTTCCGTTAAACTTTCAAGCCTACCAAAATATAAAACATTAGAAAAAAATGTTAAAGCCGCATCACTGGACATCTGCACGGACTGCAGAGTTAACACAGGAGTGATGGGCTGCTAGGTTCAATAATGGCTGAAGGGAAAAACAACTCATAGGCTTGGCCCTAAGCAGGATAACTATGTCATACCCCTTCCACTCAAGTTCAGGGAACATTGGCAAGTGGAGGTGAAGGGACAGTAAGAGGGAAAAGTCAGAGGACCGCTGCCCAACAGTGTCCCTGGCCGTGACAGCAGCCGTGCTGTCCTGAACAAGACCAACACAAGATCTAGCCGGCCAACATTCCAGCATGGACGAGAGGTGCTCACAAGCCCCCACCCCAACCTGAGGAGCTCCTGCTCCAGGGAAGAGAGAGTCAGTTTTCTTCATGGTCATTGCCTAAGGTCAGTTATCCCAGCTCCAGGGGATAGCCCAGTATCCACTGCATTATTAACTAGACTCAGTGAGGAGGAAAAATGAAACTGGAAGGGGTTCTGGGAGGAGGTAGAGGAAAAGTATCAGGTGCATATGATATACATTGTATTCATGAAGGAAATTACAAAAGATTTTTAAAAAACAAAAACTTGTATAGAGGGTCACAGAGACAGTTCCTGCCTCCAAGGAACTCACAGACTCAGAGAAGAGCTGAATGTACCAGGCTGTGTTGGGACTGAGGTTTGGATGGTAGCCCGAGGATGAGGGGTGGCATAGAGGGGTTCTGTCTACTGTCTTGATCAGTTTTTTGGTTTTTTGCTGTGAAGAGACACCACAGCTTAGGCAACTCTTACAAAAGAAAGCATTTAATTGGGACTTGCTTACAGTTTCAGATATTTAGTCCATTATCAGCATGGCAGGAAGCAAGGCAGCAGGCCAGGCAGACATGGTGCTGGAGAAGGAGCTGAGAGTTCTACATCTGAACCCACAAGCAGCAGGAAGGAGGAGACTCTGGGCTTAGAATGGGGTTTTTGAAACTTCAAGACCTACCCCTCAGTGCTAGGAGTCCAACAAAGCCACCCCTCCCAATCCTTTCAAATACCGCCACTCCCTTGTGACCAAGCCTACGGGGGCCAATCTCATTCACAGCACCACAGATATCAAGCCAAGGAGTAGCTAGGGAGTGATAAAAGCAGATTTGAACTTGATAGAGACCATTCTAGAATCCAGGTTCTAGAATGAACACACAGGATGTGTCCTAGGGCAACAGAAGGTGGCGTGCAGGTTTGTGCAGAACCTGAGGTAGCAATCGGCCATGTAAGGAAACAACGGAGACTCTTTAGGTGGCATTGTCAGGATTTGGTAGCTGACCTGAGGTGTAAGGTGCTGGCAGAAAATCAGGTCTCCAGCTGCACCCTGTGTCACGAGTGCTGGGAACTCAGGAGGAGGTGAAGAGGAATGGAAGCCTCAGGGGAGATCTCCCGGGCCCAGCAACATCATGGGGCTCAGTTGATGCCTCAGGGAGGTGTCCAGAAAACCGACAATTGTATGGCTCCTTAGAACCGGAGAGGGGACTCAGTTACAGAATTGGAGGTGTGAGGCCAAACAGCTTGAAGGCTGGTAAGGAGGCCACCGTCCTAAGGGGTGACCTTAGAAGGGGAGACTGGGAAGAGGTTGTGGAGAAAAGAGGGAGCCATGGACTGATGCAAGGGCATGGAAGGGTGGTGCTCGAGGCAGCCCCTACCTGAGCTCTTCATCATGAAAGAAAGGGAAAACAGTGATGGTTAAGACAGTCAATATGGCAGGATCCAGAGTCACCTAGCAGACAGACCTCTGGACATATCTGTGAGGGCGTGTGTAGAGAGAGTTAACTGAGGTGGGAGACCCACCCTAAACGTGGGCAGCATCACATCATGGGCAAGGGCCCTATGCCGGGTAAAAAGGAGAGAAGGAGAGGCGCTGACACTCATCTGTCTCTGCTGCCTGGCTGTAGGCGCAGTGTGGCCGCCACCTCATGCCGCTGCTCTGACTTCCCCATCAGCCCCTCAAGCTGGGAGCCCAAACCAACTCTTCCTCAAGCTGTCTTGGTCGGGCATTTTGTCATAGCAACAGGAAAAGAAACACATGCATAAATCATTTCGTAATACTGAGTTAAATTAAGACTCTTACAGCCCACGGCATTGAACACTAGATTTATTATGAGTTCAAGGGCAAGGCACTGTTTGTATGGACTATGTAAACAACTTAAGTCTGGAGGATTCCGGGACTCTCTGGCTGGGCTTGCTGGCCTTGGCTTTCTCTTCAGTCCTCACAATGACTTTTGCTTGGTGTTGAGAGACTTGGAACTGTTTACCTGTTAAGATTACGGCTCACATTGAAGTCGATCACTCAATTTCACCTCTCATGATCCTTTTCGCGGCTGTGTGCATCTCCTGTCTCCACGGTAACTGTCGCTGAGTCCTCTAGACGCCACCGTCTGAGTACTCTCTGGTGCTGAATCTTGGATGTCCACCTGAGTGGGTTAAAGGTCGCTCAGAAAATTTGCAAATCATACTTCTGGGTATGGCTGTGAGGTGTGTTTCCAAAAAGAATTGGCACATGGGTCAGTGAATCCAGGGGAAAGACCTGCACTGAAGGTGGGTGGTACGGTCCAGGGCAGGGACACTGATGGAACAAAGCAACGGAAGAAGAGAAGCCTGTGCGCATGCTCCGCCCTACTGAGCAGGCGCCCTAATTGTGCTGCTGTCGGACTCCAGACTTTTGAGCGTTCCACATGACTTGGACAGCTGTCTTTCCATGGGGCTGGAGGACCTTCAGGCTCTTCCTGGAGCTGGGTCTTTGGTCTTGTTGTTTCTGAGGCTTCTAACTGCTCAGACTCATCAGCTACTGCTTTCTCTAGCTGTCTAGCCTTGGACAGCCGTTGTGGGATTGGACTGTTCAGTAACCTTACAAAGCTGTCTTAACATGACATGTAGAGTCTGTTGGGTTTGTTGCTCTAGAGAATTCTACATAATGCAATCTCTAAGATGGGTGTCTCCTTCCCTGATGCTACAAGTCAGTCCTATACCAGACACTGCAGTCCCCCACCTGGCCTCTTGCTTCCAAGTCTCCGGTTCATTTTTCTCCGTCAGTCACTAGAACGCAAGGACACAGTCTAGCTGTCTCCCTCTTTATTGTAATTTGCCGTGAGTGGACAGTGGAAAGCGGGTATGAAGGATGACTATCTAAGTAATGCTTGAGTTTATGAATGTGGACATTTACAAGAAGGACCATCTTCCTAAGGTTAATGCCTCTAAGGTAAATGCTCTTGTCAAAGAGGCTCGGACTATAGCCCAGCCCTGGTGCCACAGCCGCTTTTCCCCTTGTGGCATGAGGCTGCCCTACGGTATAAGAGAGGAAAGGAATACCTGATTTTTCATCCATTTCATATTGTGGGCGTTTCAGGGGGGTAGTACTGGGCATTCATTTTAGAGGTTTTTTTTTTTTTTTTTAAAGATTTACACACACACACACACACACACACACACACATATGTATGCATGTGTGTATGTCCTGTCTGTCTCTTGTGGAACTGGAACTACAGACAGTATGAGTTGCCTGATAAGGGTGGTGAGAGTCCAGCTCAGGTCCTCTGGACGAGCTGGAACTACTCTTGACTCTGGAGCCCTCTCTCTTGCCTTTATTTTTAGTTTTTTTAAGACAACATTTTGCGCTGGGCGGTGGAGGCGCACACCTTTAATCCCAGCACTTGGGAGGCAGAGGCAGGCGAATCTCTGTGAGTTTGAGGCCAGCCTGGTCTATAAGAGCTAGTTCCAGGACAGGAACCAAAAAGCTACAGAGAAACCCTGTCTTGAAAAACCAAAAAAAAAAAAAAAAAACCAAAAAACCAAAAAAAAAAACCAACAACATTTTGCTATTATAGAGCAGACTGACTCAAATTCATGATCCTCCTACACCAGATGCGTGCTTATTGGGATTGCAAGCACGCATCACATGGCTAAGAAAAACATGTATATGTATATATGCATATACATTTGAATTGAAATCTAGATTCTACACATGAAAGAAAACACACAGAATATTGTTGTGGAAGCTGCGGGCTGCATTCTTGCGGCCCGGCTCCTAGATACTGGCTAGTTTTACCCAAAATAACGACACACAAACTGTATTCATTTAAACACTGCTTGGCCCATTAGCTCTAGCCCGTACTGGCTAATTCTGATATCCCCATCAACCCATCTCTAATAAACTGTGTAGCACCGGTCTTACCGGGAAAGATTCAGCATGTCTGACCTGGCGGCTTGCTTCATCATGTCTGCTTCTGAGAGGAGCTGCATGGTTTCTGAGCTCACTTCCTCTTCGTCCCAGCATTCTGTTCTGTTTACTCCACCCACCTATGTTCTAGCCTATCAGGGCCAAACAGTTTTTTTATTACTTAACCAATGAAATCAACAGATTGATATATGACATTCCCACATCATTTCCCCTTTTTCTGTTTAAACAAAAAAAGAAGGCTTTAATTTTAACATAGCAATATTACATATAACAAAACAGTTATCAAGCAAGAATTACAGTTACAATATTTATATCTATTTTATCTTTTATCATAACAAAGAAAAACAACTATAACTATCTATCTATTCTTCAACTGCATCAAAGACTCCAGAAGGATATAATATTACCTAAGTAAACAAGAAATAAGCAATTCTGAGTGGGGTGAGATGGGATTTGAGAAACAGCTTAAATTCATGTTTCCTCGATGGCTAAAGACACTGGGTACCTTTTCAAACATTTATTGCATATCTGTATTTCTTCTTTTGGAGACTGTCAATTCATTTCACTGGCCCATTTATTGATTACATATTTTTTGGTGTTTAAGTTTTTCATTTCTTTTTATATTCTAAATATGAATCCCTTGCTTGGTGCAAAGTGGACAAAGACTGTCATTCTGAACATTCTGTTGATTATGTAGGGAAAATATTTTAAAAGAACATTCCTCCTCTTCTTCCTCTTCCTCTTCTTCCTTGTCTTCTTGCAAATAAACTGGAGACTATTCAATAATCTAGTGAAAAGTTGATTGTTTTCCCAGACAGCCAACCCAAAAGCTCTTGCAGTTTGATATGAGAGACTGGATATCGGGTAAAGAAAACTTTTTTTCTGAAGTGCTTGAAGTAAAAAAATTAAAAAGCTAAGACTGTGGTTAGAGCAACCCAGGAGCTGTGAACAGGCGTGTTCTCACGTGAGAAATGCTCTCGTATGTGCTGTGTCATGGGCTGACGCCATAACTCCGCAGCAGGATGGAGCCCAAGGACACATCAGTGTATTCAAACGGGAAAGAGTCGTGCGTTCATTGCACAAGATCAAACCAACGTCTCCTTCTCTTCTTGCTTTCACAGAGTGCTCCCCTCTGAGACTCAGGACTGACACTGTGTCTGAATGAAGTACCAGAAGGAAGGAAATTTTCATTACCAAGTCCTAACCTGGGAGAGATCTGGAAAGCTCTCTGGAGTCAGCCTGTCCTGAGCCTCTCCCAAAGGCGACCCAGCGCAGAGCAAGCACAGCCCTGCAGCCCACAGGGTCTCACCTACACCCTATGGCCAGTGTCTGGGGAGTCACAATGTCAAACACCCCCCATGGTCCCACCCACACCCTCAGGCCAGTGTCTGGAGAGTTACAGCCCATGCTCCCTTTCGCAATTTCTTCCTCCTTGACTATGAGGCATGAACTCAAGCATCCTGGGACAGCTAGCCAGGCTTTCTTTAACATCCTCTGAAGTAGGAACCCCACATGGCTACCTTCTGACTAGAACTGGATTCCCTTCTCTTTTTTAGCACCATTATAATCACCCAGGAATCTCTGTCGGGGTGACTGTGGTGCTTTCAATTTTTTCACAGTTCTAGAGAATCAAGGCCTTTGGGTTTTTAAATCGAGATTCTTACTTGTGATATGAGTATATTACATGTACATGTGAGTGAGGGCATATGTGTGCTTGTGTATGCACACATGTTTGAGTGGAGAGGTGAGCATTCTGTGTGTGCAAACCTGTGGATATTAGAGGTGAGACGCTGGGTGTCTTCCTCAACACTACTTTGTGTGTACACCTGTGGATACCAGAGGTGAGACGCTGGGTGTCTTCCTCATCACTACTGTGTGTGCACACCTGTAGATACCAGAGGTGAGGCACCGGGTGTTTTCCTCAACACTACTGTGTGTGCAAACCTGTGGATACCAGAGGTGAGGCACCAGGTGTCTTCCTCAACACTACTGTGTGTGCAAACCTGTGGATACCAGAGGTGAGGCACTGGGTGTCTTCCTCAACACTACTGTGTGTGCAAACCTGTGGATACCAGAGGTGAGGCACCGGGTGTCTTCCTCAACACTACTGTGTGTGCAAACCTGTGGATACCAGAGGTGAGGCACCGGGTGTCTTCCTCAATTACTGTCTGCCAGCTTTGCCAATCCAGCCAGCCTGGCAGGTCAGTGGGCTGCAGGAGTTGACCTGTCTCCTGTCCAGGGCCTGGTGGGTACAGATGGATACTGCTGTACCCACGTCTTGCAGAGGTGCTGGGCTCGAACTCAGCTCCTGATGTCTACATGGCAAAAGCAGTACTGACTGAGCCATCTCCCCTGTTCCCAAAGTTCTACTTTTTAATAATAATAGCAATAGCAAAAAATCCTCTCCCATGTTTTAAACATTTTCTTTTCTCCATTTCTTTCTTTCCTCCTCTCCTGCCTCCCCTAGCCCCGCACTCAGGACTGAATCTAGGGCCTCACACAGGGTGACGAGCACTCTACAGTATTATGTCTCAGGGGTTTCTATTCACTTTCAAAAGCAGGGCTTCCCTAGGCTGGCCTTGAATTCATGCTGTAGCCTTGAACTTTCAATCCTCTTCTGACAAGCTCCTGAGTAGCGGCCGTGGGGCCCTGGTTATTTTTTTTTTTCCCTGATTATTTTTTAAAGGTGCTTAATATCTATTCAAACGTATTCATTAACACTATTTTAGATTGCGATATGATATTCTACAAGGATATTTCATGTTAAAAGGTGAAACTGTGGGCGTTGCAAAAGGCAACAGGTCAAAACTAAAGGTGGTTGCTGCTGTGAAAACTGAGCAAGTGTAGCTGTCAAGGACCCAGTCCTCCAGTCTACCCAGCCCACCCACGCTCACTACAAGAAACACTCGTCTCATCATTTCCCCTCACAAGCTGCTGCCATCTTTGGTGTTGACCCCATGGGTTAAGTGAAATGCAAGCATCCTAAGAACAAACATCAAACGCTCCCCAGTGGGAAGCCTCAGAAGGACTGCCATTCAGGAGTGAGAGAAGCAAGCCTGTGCAAGGTCACAGGATTGATGACACCCTGCCTGATAAGGTACAGTGATCAGGGGCTAGACCGAGCCTGCAAGAGTCAGACGGGACAAGAGTCCAGATTCTGCAAGAGTTTGTGGGGCCAACTCAGTGTGCACATCTGTGAAACGGGCACATAAACTTCTGAGTATTGAGGGACAAAGAGGCAAAGCACCTGGACTGGGCCTGCAGAGGGGACACAGCTAAGGTAAACAGCCCCTACGGTCACTCTCCTGTGACCAGGCTGGTGTCACCTTTCTTCACAGAACTTGAGATCGCAGGCGTTGGAGTACCCTGTATCATGACTGTCTGTCCTCTTTCTCCTCTCCTCCTCCTCTCTTCTTTCTCTCCTCTTTCCCCCTCCTCTCTCTCCTCCTTCCCCACTCCTCTAACTGTGGCATGTGTGTGCGCATGTGTGTGTCTGCGTACATTGTCACCCATGTGTGCATGTGAAAGCCACAAGTTGATATCTGCTAGCTTCTTCTATGTCTCTTCACCTTGCCCTTTGACACAGATCCTGGAGCTCCTATTTCTGCTACAATGCCTGGCCCATGTGCTCCAGGGGTCAGCACTTTAACTGCCAACCCCCCCCCCCCAGCTGTCTCCGCAGACCTGTGACTATCGTCCTAGATTCTGATTTCTCTACTGACTCAACTGAAGACAACACAATCAAGAGGGAGAAATGCAGTGGATTCTGACTGCTACCCGGCTCACCTCAGCCCTGCTGTGTCTGCCTAAGAGGATTGAGTTCCCAGTGTTCCTACAAAGATCTTTTTGGCGTTCAGTTTCAGGCCTCAGACCCTAATGCAGGAGTTAAAGCTGAAGCCCCTCACTCGTTCCTGAAAGCAAACCCAGTTAAACTCACTGAACCAAGAAAAAAACTAAAAACATGAAAGCAAAAGGGGGTCAGTTGGGAGGAGGAAGGGGTTTACTGGAAGTGGGAGGGAGCAAGAGAGGTGATGGGGGTTATGATCAAAGTGGGCTTTACACGTATAAAAACATCACAGTGAAACCCGGGAGTAATTACTGTAAATAATTACTGGATACTCACAAAAATTTGAAAGTAGCTTCAGGTGAACCTATTTCAAAGTTTATTAATAATCGCAGGGCTGGGGAGATGGTTTGAGGGGGAGGTTAGGGTGCTAATGTAGAGACAGGCAGATCCCTGGGGCTCATGGGCCAGCAAATCTAAGGAGAGAGGAGTTTCAGGATCAACGAGAGACCTGTGCCAAAGGATAAGGTGGAGAAAGGCGCTAGCAGACATCAGCCACATATGTGCACACAGGTGACAGATCCTGCACATGCGTGCACACACATTTACAGACGCCCTGTGTGGTGGACCATACCTGTTCTCCCAGCACTGCAGAAGCTGAGGCAGGAGAATTGCTGAAAGTTCCAATCCAGCACCATCTACATAGAGAGATCCTGTCTCAAAAATATATCCCTCCCAATGCATTTATATTTGTAATGAGGCAGAGAATTCTACTCAAGATGTGGGCCACTGCGTGGTGCCTATTTGTCTTCCACTGTGAAAAAGAGCTGCCCATTAATGAATATTTCACTCAAGTGTCTTTAAATTGTGCTTGCAGGGTTTACCAGTGTCTTTTATGTGAAGCAAACAGATCTCCATTCAAAAAAAAAAAAAACTAAAGCCACCGTTCACATGACAAGGGGGGAATGTTTTCCTTCCCCCTTTCATTAAAAAAAAAAGCCATAGGGCTGGAGAGATGGCTCAGTGGTTAAGAGCGTTGCCTGCTCTTCCAAAGGTCCTGAGTTCAATTCCCAGCAACCACATGGTGGCTCACAACCATCTGGAATGAGATCTGGTGCCCTCTTCTGGCCTGCAAGCATACACACAGATAGACTATTGTATACATAACAAATCAATCAATAAATAAAAAGCCATAAACATAACAAAAAATAATGAAAGAAAAATAAAAGGAGCCATCCCACTGGGCAGGGGAGGGGGAGGGCAGCTGCAGGGAATATCTGCAGGGTGCCAGAAATCCTTCATCTTACTTTCTCATAACTTCATTACATACTGGACCAAGGACACAGACAGTTTTAGCTGTGGTGTTTCTGGTGTTCTGTCCTACCTAAACTGTGGGTGGGACTGTGTGAGGAAGGTGGTCTGTCCTATTTGTAGCCCAGAGGCCTTCCCACCCAGCCACTGAAGTCAGAATGACTGCACACGAGTTTTCACGTTTCTCAGAGTCTCCAAATGCTCCGTGCCTCTCTTAATCATTTATTTCTTGGGGTGATTTGCTTGGGGTTGAACTGCCCTTTGTCCATGCAACCTGTAACAAGATGACCTCAAATCTACTAAAGACAGCTGTGGAAGAGCGAGGGAGATGTGGTGCCCGACTCCTTTCTGAAAACATGTATCTGCACTTACAAGACAAACCCTCAGAAGGATGTAGCTCTGGTTGTTGGAGAACAAGTGTGCCCACCCCACACACCATGTATTGTCATCTCCCTTCAAACACGGTCTTCTTCAGGTTTCTGTGTTTATCAAACATAATTATTATTTCCCAGAGAATTGTGTACATTTACAATGTATTTTGATCATTGTTTCCTCTTTTTAAAAGACAGAGCCTTCTGACTCTCACAATTGTGAGATCGTGCATTCTCCTGAAGAGCAGTGATGTTCAGAGTGAAACTTACAACTGCCACTTTAAAGCATTACCAATGTTTCATGTGTAAGAAGACAAAGTACCAGCCAGGATCATGTTTTATAATAAGTATCATAGTTCAAAGGAAAATTTAGGGTGTTATTAGAAAAAATAAAAACAAAACAAAAACTCAGTCACTTTCTAGCAACACAGTCTGGTAGTGTGGGACAAGTCTATATTCTGTCAATTATATTTTAAATAAATGCTGATTGGCTGATAGCCAGGCAGAAAGTATAGGTGGAAAAACCAGACAGGAAGTAGAGGTGGGAAATGAGAACAGGAGTATTCTGGGAAGAAGGAAGCTCTTTTCTCAGTCCTGCCCAAACCACAGAAGAAGCAGGATGTGACCTGCCCCACTGAAAAAGGTACTGAGCCATGTGGCTAACATAGATAAGAATAATGGGCTAATATATGTTATAAGAGCTAATACAAAGCCTGAACTAATGGGCCAATCAGTTTATAACTTATGGAGACATCTGTGTAATTTTTCTTTTGGACTTGCCAACTGTGGGAACTGAGCAGGACAGAAACCCCAACGAGCAGGCCCTCCTGTTATAGAATGGCGCCCAACGTGGGGCCAATCTGTAAGAGGAACAAGTAGGCTGCTTGTCATCCCAGCCGCCCAGCTAGTTTATACCTGAAATAATTACACAGAAACTGTATTCATTTAAACACTGCCTGACCCATTAGCTCTAACTTCTTATTGACTAGTTCTTACATCTTGATTTAACCCATTTCTGTTAATCTGTATATTACCACGTGGCAGTGGCCTACCAGGAAAGATTCATCATGCCTGTCTCTGGCAGCTCCATGGTGGCTCTCTGTCTCCTGTCTTCCCAGCATTCAGTTCTGTCTACTCCACCTACCTAAGTGCTGCCCTATCAAAAGGCCAAGGCAGCTTCTTTATTCAACCAATGAAAACAACACATACACAGTCAGGCGAGATGGTTCAGTGGTAAGGGTGCTTGCTGCCAAGCCTGAAGACCCAAGTTCCATTCCCAGCACCCACATAGTAGAAGGAGGGATCCGACTTGTGGAAGATGTCCTCTGACCTCCACAGACACATGGAGTGTATTACAATTGCTGTGGGCACCTGAGCAAAAAAAAAAAAAAAAAAAAAAAAAAAAAAAAAAAAA